TAAATATTCTGATCCTACATAAGGATTACAAATAAGAGAGTTATCTACTAAATAACTAAAATATAAAAAATTAAGAAGTGATTCTTCATTTGGGCTTTTCAGCTATTTAGCAGATGATGCCCTAAAGTAGTTCCCTTATTAGATTTCCTTATTGAAGAATACCAAACTAGAGCACTGTTTAGCAGATAGCTCCCTTATTTAGTGTCCTTAAATATGGCAATCCCACAAGAAGACTGCATTTAAGGAAGTTATCTGCTAAACCAATGAAAGATCAAAGTTAATAGGTATCATTAGCCAGCCCAGATCATGAATTCTTGGTGGCCAATGTGAATTTTGTGCAATTGTGTTGTTTGATACCAGCATTAGACAGCCAGTGACAGAACGTTAACCAGCCCTCTAGTGGAAATTATTAGTGCCCTTCCTTCCCCTTCCCCCAGTTTCGTGGCATGCCCCCCAAACATATTGTTCATAGAGTTGCCCCTGTTTACAACACTTTGTTTTTATTTTTTTGTAATTGTGGATGCGCAGACAGATATTTTAAGGTTTTGACTTTGTTTTAATGATACTCATCTAGAGCACAGCTGGCAATAAAATGCCAATTAAAATTCCATCTTTGATGCAAAACGTTTATCATTGTTTGAGAGGTTTGCAACCAAATTGCATCAGATGAATCCGATCTCCCTACAATTTAAAAGAAAAACAGAACAGCTTTGTTGTATGTATTGATCTAGCACTTCTCTTTTCTCTACTAAAGATTTAAGTTCAGTGTCCTCAACACAATATATACTATAAAACACGGCTAAAACATAAATACACTGATGTGGGTCCATGTATTTATTTATATTTTATCTGTGCTTAATTTTTGTGTTTGTTTATTCACTCTGGTGCGATTTATTTGGGGAAGACACACAAGTAGTTGCATATATTAATTATCATCAATTTCAAATATTTAGCTATGATTTTGCCCTCTTTAGGTGGGTTCAGTGCACTCCTAAGGCAACATGATTTAAAAAACAAAAAAATAGGACAAAGTGGAGTTCCTTTTGGATGAGTAAAAATAATTATTTATCAAGTATATTTACTACTTTTTGGTGCTACACTACCATGATGTACAGACAGCTTAAAATGTCTGGTTGAGAGTCATGGTAATCCAAACTCAAAACAGCCAGAGTGACAGAAGTACAACACAATTACATACCCTCAAATCACCATTAGATATAATCAGAGGCGGCTCTATTATTAATCTAGTAAAACCACATAAGGCCTCACACTTGCTGGAGTCTAGCCACATGTCTCTCTTAGAACACCGCTGTCACTGTGAGCATATCAGCTATGGCCCCTTTTAGGGCACATTCTTCGATGTTCTATAATGTAACAGAATTTGTTAAAATTATTTCCTAGTACAATTTTTGTGTCTGTTCACATGCCCATGATACAGGTGTCTCCAAATATTTGAAAGTTATCCCTGTCTAAGTAGAGGAGCATTCGTTAGTGACTTTTTTACATCTTCATGGACATCAATTTCATTTTCAAGAATTGTATCATCCAAGACATTAAGACTAATACAGTCCTTTCACTGTTAAACCTGGATTAAAAATAAAACCACTTCTAGCAATTATTCAACAGTTTGAAATTCATCTTTACAAACATTTATTCAATTTCATTAATGGGAAGACTGTAAATCACTACATTGTTACCCTTAATACCAAGATTCAATATGTTATATACAATTTACAATGTAAATAAATATTTAAGCTATATTTCTCAAAATTGATATCTATAATGTTATTAGACATTACCCTCGATAATCTGTTTTGTATTCCATTTATAGAATTAAGGCAATACATGATGAGGTTAAATGTTGTATTATAAAAAGTAATGATTATTTTTCATCTTGCTTCATTAAAGTTGACTTATATTGGGAATTCAAAATAAAATCTACCAGTTAATTTTATAATAGGTGAAGATTTTGTTGCAAACTATATTGTAGATTTTTTAAATTTTAAGTTAATTCAGTTGAAGCTAAAAATTGTTTAGTTTTAGAGTCAATAGATTGACTCAAATTTATATTTTTTTGCCTCCTAAAGTGCAAACTCAGTAGGATTTGCAACATGTTGGGAATAATTCCTATTGCTTTCACAACTTCAGATCCACGGAATTCTGATGTCTAAGGAATGCTTTTAATGATCCTATGGGTGAACTTGGAAGAACGTGCTAGAACTTAAAATACCAGTTCAAATTTTCATTGTCAAGCTTTAAGAATCAGTAGTGGAAGAGTATGTTGGAAGCCATATTTTTTTTAATGTATTAAATTGTTACCTGTTATATTTGGTTGACCATGAAGATTCTGAGGTGATGAAAACTGAATTTTGTTTGAAAAATAGGTCTTCAATGTTTAATTGCATGACCAAGAGGAAACATAAAGACCTTGTAATAGAAGCAATGTCTTTATGTATATTGCAAAAAAAAGTCTTCTAATACTTGGTAGCTTTTAGTGCATTGTCTGTAAATTGCATCCAAAAAAATAAAAATAAATAATAAATCAAGTTTGAAGAAATCTAGATTAGTGTTTTTTTTTCTTGTTGACTAGATTTGGCAGATGGCTCAGTTTAGTTATTAATTTTGCACCAGATGAATAATCCTACCAGGTTCCACTGGAAAAATGAAGTTACAGCCTAGTGTTAAAACCTTGTGCTCTGATATCTCAGTCTCCGTATTTCAGAGAGGCCATCATCTCGGCAGTACAGGTCCCCACAGGGACTCTCTGCCAGTCATCGGGCACGACTAGCCACACCTCCGCCACCTCCACTGCTGGTGCTGCTTGAGCTCCCACTGCTGCTGCTTCCACTGCTGCATCGGTCCTCATAAATCGAAATTTCAATCTTAGGAGGATTATAAGGAAAGAGCATAATGAGATTGAAAAAATAAATATTAAAATGGTAACCAACTATATGAACTATACACACACACACCCCAGAGTGAACAATTTCCTGAACTGTAAATGTATGGACGTAGACCAAACAACTTTTACCATCACTAGTATCATTTTGTACTTATGTATTTTGAAAGTTTATAGATTTTCCTTTAGTTTTTTTGAGTCAACAAGAATGAATAAAAGCACATAAATCTCTCTGTTTTATCAGATTTAGCAAATTAATCCTCTCTTGGTTAGATAATTGAGTGATAAGGTGACTGAATAATGCTTCTCAGCTCCGCTGATTCTTGGACTCCGAGGAATTTTGTTCTCTAAGCTTGGCTGGTCCTGGTTGACATTCCTGGGGATGACAGGGACTGACTTGTATGACTACTGTGCTTTAGAGGGTTAAAAATGTTTGATCGTTTGATCTGTAGCACATCTTACTGCAGATATAAACAAAGCATGTTCCAAAGAATGGCATAAGGGGTCTTCTATTTTAAAACTATTTATACATACATGCGTATTTATGATATATAATTTTTTTTACTGTGGCCATACTTTATGTTGAAACATTTACTGTGAACCTTGTATATATGGTAGGTCATTATTATTATTACTGCTATCACTACTGATATTTATAAAGTGCCAATATATCCCAAAGCACTGTACAATTGGAAAAAAGATGGTACAGTATAAACAAACCGATACAAAAGTAACAGAGGACTCTACTGAAAAGCTGAGACCTAGCATTTACAGCTTTTTTATACAAAGAACTAAGCTAGACAGCTAATTAGCAATCTATAGGTTATGAGACAAGAGGAAGCATGTGTAAAATTGTCCATTTTTAATGTCCATTTCTACAGACAATCACTAAATAAAGAGTTCAAAAAAGGTTGAGGGTGATGGTTTTGAATATATGGTCAACCTAACATACTATATAAATATGGTTCATTTTTAGACCTTGGCATGCAACTTTCCTTGACACTGACTTAATAAATCACTGTTATAATGTCCGCTTTAATGATACTGATGGTAATTGTGGCGGAACCAGCCTCGCCACTGGGCATTGGAGAAGACTGATTGCCGGCCTCCTGCCCTGTGACTATGGCCCCATGTTGAAAGGATGGATTTTCCCCTGCAAAGACCCAAAAGCTGGGTCTTTCGGTACTTTCCCTATGTGAGCAATGTTACCCAGATAGCTATGCCATGGAGCCCATTTGTATAATGAAAGACTATGGGAAAGACTTTGGCTCCATGGCAATTGAACTGTATGTGTGTGCTCTGAGCGCCATTCAGTAATAATGTGCGCTCAGATCTGAGCTATCCGGGGATATGTTGAATGTACCTGTTTTGTGCAATGGCTGCACAGTTATATGTTTTTATGTGTTTTATTGTCTTTTGCTGCCATGTGGCTAATGGAGCTTTGCCTCTGTCCTGGAGATAATTGGATTACTTCCCCAATTATCTCCAGGATATAAGACTCTGTGTAACTGATTTTGGGCAGAAAAGCCATGCTGCATTTGGTCAAATAGGACTTTTCCTTAACTTTTGAACCACTGGACCAATATGTATGATTTGACATATGTTTGTATTTTGAGTATGCTGATTCTGAAAATGTAAGTTTTATGTGAATGTGATGCATACTTTTCAAGTTATGAATAATGTGGAAAAACTGTATTTCTCTGGCTGTGATAATTAGATTAACCATTGTGTTCAGTGATCATATCACAGCCAGAGGGGAGGATTTTGTGTGGGAGTGTTGTTCTGTAATGTACGTGTGTTATTGGTTGTTATGTAAAACCCTGTGGGCAGTACTAAGTTTGTGGATTGGGAATAAAAGAGGCTGTATGTGCCAGTCCAGTCTGTTCACTGCTTGACCCTCAACATGGAGCTTTGTCTCATTCTTGGGGGGATTTTTGTATGCTGTTCCAGTTCGACTGCTAGGAGTCTAAACCCATCCGTATGGTTTTAGCCTATTCAGCTGTTTATAGCATTCAGATGCTTGAGAGAAGGTATACGCTTCTCCGGTTCGGTGATTGTGGTGTCTGCCAGAGTGCTTGGAGTCCTCAGGAAATGCTAGGAGCATCCTTTAATGGAGGTACCCAGTCGGGGTGCCAGGTGATCCGTTACAGTAATGATTCCAAGAAATAAACACACTCAATATTGCTATATACCCAATAAGGCAAAAAAAAAAAAATACAGTAACAAAATGGACATTAAAAAGCCACAATTAAAAAAAAAAATGTACTCTTTAAACATAGGAATGCTACATTTGGTGTACTTCTAGAATACAATTTTACTGTGAATACTACTTGAATTAAATTGTAGATGCCTGTGACACCTACGATTCTGGTCCATAGGGTGAGTCCTATCCTTTTACTTAGACTTACAAACAATATAAAATGTATGGAACCCATTCAGTATCTGGGGAATAACACAAGCAAAGTGTAACCTACTTTCTCGCATTATTAAAAGGATAACCAATGTAGTCTGATAGAATAGAGCTGTGATTATTTATCTGGCAGTAAAATGTGTTTTCACAAGGTTCTATATTTTTTTCTCTGCACGTTTTTTTGGTATGCAAATTCAGATTAGAAAGGATTTTGCAATAAAACATTTTAGACAAGAAGATAACGAAAAATAAATACAAAAGAAAAAGGATACAACACGCATCCCACGCTCAACAGGATCGGTAATTAATAAGCCTCTGGGGGCATATATCTTCTCATTCTGCTCCTGGATATATTTTGAAATCTTCTTTAACACCTTAAAATGGGAAAATAAACACTGATTATTGTTGCAAGACTGAATGAAAACAATGCTTATAATTAGTGTCCTATTTAGAGAAAGACCATTAAATGTGGAATTCACCTGAGATCCACATTACTACAAAACAGAACAAAACCCAGCAAAACAACCAATTTTCCAGAAAAGAGAAGATTTCCAACCTTGTATTGTTGATTGCAAGGTCTTTTCAGAAGCATTGTATGTTTTTGTGTGTGTGCTTTTTTTTTTTTTTTTTTTTTCTCCTTTGGCCTTTTAAGGTACGAGAAGGCCTGGAATGTCACAATGGAGGAACATTACAGCAATGCCACTTATTTAACTACCCAATTCCTAGCTTCAATCCATTGTACTCTGGGACTGGGAACACATCCAGATTGTGTGGTAACCAATGCACTTCACTGTAGAGAACCATTGCCATCATTCTATTAATGGGCTTATGGGAGCCCTATGATAAGACTCAAGCACCGCAGGATGTAAAGTTGGACACACACTGTGCCAATTAACAAAATAAAAAGAAAAATGACACACAAAACCTTTTTTCTCCCAAATTAAAGGAGCAGGAATTTTAGTTCACACAGAAAAAAAGTAAATTAAAGTGTTTTCCAGTTTAAATATATTTAAAGAAAAAACAAACTAAGCTTTTATTTAACAAAAATATATTTATGTGTGATTGCAAAATATTCAACAATTAAATAACAGACTTATATAGTAGGCTTTAGTGTATTTTACAATGTTGCCTATAATGTTATAAGAGTTGCAGAAATGTATTCTCTAAACCCCAAGTATTGGACATTTGACTGATGTGATATATCATGTGCTCTTCCTACTATTTGGAACTCTCTGCTAATTCTTCAGTTAAAGATTTTTTTTTTTTGTAGTTTGTTTCTTTTTTAATATAAATGCAAAGTTTCAGAGAAAACTACTTTAATTATTTTAATTCAAAAAGTATCCCATTGTGTCAGCATAGAAACATAAAATCAGTAGTTGTCATATATGAAATGAACATTTGAAATTACTAAGAGATGACACTTATTTAAAACAAACACAAACGAACATCCGTAATGCACCATATACAGGAGATTTTATCAAAGTACCCTTCTCTAAAAAGTAGTGCAAAAATCTAGAAGGACAGGAGCAAGAATTGAATGCACCTGCCAATTCCATTGTTATCCATGGTATTTGCCACCAGGTTTTGCACTTTAGACAACTTTTTTAACAGAGCATTTTGATAAATCTATGCCAGTGTTTTTTTGGTTCAACATAATATAAAAACAATACAAACACGATTAAAATATATAAAAGAAAAGAATGGGTAACATATCAGATGCATGGAATTCTGGCATGGATGACCCTCAAGTCAGTTTTACAGCACCTAGATCTCGGATGGATCATGCTTATATAGCAGGACAAGAGCAGTCTGCTCAGCTAATTAGTCAATCACAGACCAAGGACCCAAAACTGTGAGGGGACCTGGCAGCTTATGTAGTGCAGTTTCTCATGCATTTTCACTAAGGCAGAGCAGGTACCTGCCTACTGCGTGGGTTCACACTGTGCTCTTCTTGCACAGCTTCCCCTCATGGTCTACAGTGATGCCAGGAACAAGGATGTGACATCACCCTGACCCCAGTATCACTACAAGAAGAGCATAGTGGTCCTGGGAGACCTACTGGATCCCAGGGAGAAGCTTCACTGTGTGTGCTTTTTTTGACATGAGTAGGGGCACACTTCCCAAATTTTGCAGACAGCTTAAAGAGACAGATTCCAACTATCATGACCACTTCAGTGGTTATGGTGCTTGGAGTCTGTATGTACATCAAAGCAGTCTGAAACGCTGCACGTGCAGAGTTAAAGAAATTTGCTGCAGAAGGTGTAAGTCCACCTTTGGCTGCATCATTAGCCTAAGCAAAACAAGAGTTCTGGACTGGCCAATGTTAAATCTGTACATATTGGGTGTTAGTCTGCTACCAGCATGCTATGCGTGCTGATGACAAACCAATGGAGGTATATGGTGTTAGTACATGGGGGGTACTTGTACATGTGTTATGTTGGTTACCTATTGCCCAGGGACTCTGTGAGTTGCCAGTCCACTCCAAAGTAAGTGACTTTTATATCTTGTTTCTATGTGATGGAATTACAAAAATAGTCATCAAAAGGGATTTTTGGGGGGCAAGATAAGGCAGTAGTAATCAGACAAAAGAACAGCAAATTCATTTCCTGCTACCCAATTTTGTGGGTTTTTTTTGTATAATGGATTGTAACCTAGACGGAGGCTAGCCATTCATAATATTTCATTGTGAAATCACTTTCCTCTTACTGGAGAAACACTTTGCATTTACATCTGTTTTATATTTTAAATTGAGGCTAAAAACTTAAAGTTCTCACAAACAAGTTTCATTTATCATTTAGGTGACTTGCAGCATTTATACAATACAATTCAGCTTCTATTGTGCCTAAAACCTTAAAAATGTGATATACAAATGTAAAAACTTGTGTAATAAAATAGTGAAAGACCAAGATTCCGTATCACAGAGTATCCTTTCTCAGTGTCAACTGGGGCTGGATTGGGAACAGGATCTGCTGGGAAATTAATTTTCAGCTTACAAAGGTCGAGTTTGCTTTGGAAAAATGCCCAGATTGACAGTGTGATATAAAAAGATTGGGCAATTATTCCCCCAAAGCGCAGCCTGCTGAGTGGCTGCATGTTGAAACAACCTTTCCCAAGCATTTAAAGGGAGGATTAAACCAGCTCACCAAGAAATAGACAGATAATAATGTAAAATACCAAGCCTGACGTGCGACTCAGTCTTGCTCTCAAAAGTTTAGTTGTGTCAATGTTGGACAGAGTTCAAAGAAGTAATGTTGGACTGAGATATGGTGACTCTTTGGAAATTCAAATCCTATTTTATACAGGCCAACTCTCTCTTAGTAAAGAGTCAAAATATAACCAATTTCCCATCAATAACTTCCTTTTAAGTAATTCAAAGAGGCATGGGGCATGCAGTTACACTGAATGGCAATATAAGGTCTATACTGGGAAAGTTTGCATTGGTTGTTTCTGTATTGATATACTTGAAAATATGAGAACATGTTAATCCCCTTTGACTTCAGTAAACAATCTTTAAATAAGACAAATCTCCTTTTCTTTGGGTGTGAAGGATTTATTTTTCATAGTTTAAACATTTTTCTTTTATTCCCCAAGTACTGTGTTCTTTGTAGGTTTGCAAATAAAACACACACTATAGACTAACCTTTTCATAATGCGTTTCCATGCACAGAAAAATGAAATAGGCTGTGGCACAAGCTAAGCAGCCCTCCAAGTATGAGCTGCCCCCAATCTTCTCCGCTTCTATGTAAAAAGTGTTTAAAGTCTTCACAGTCTCCTCAAATAGCTGCTTCTCAATCTGACCCCCCCAAAAAAGACAAAACAAAGCACAACAGTGATATAAAGGTCATTAGTTACAAAGTGAACCAATACTTTTGAAATATATATCTTGAATATATATGTACATCGTAATATGAACCTTTACGAAATAGAAAATATGAACGTTTAAATATCACTAATATTTCTCAATAGGCACACAAAGCTACACATGCAATCCGGATTTCCTATAAGGTGACAGAGGCCTGAGAGGGGTGACAAAGCCAGTGGAGAGATCAAAGATCTTCCTCACTGGTCAGCCCATTTTTAGGCCAATGGAGCAGTTGATGGAGCCGGCTGCTGTGGCAGTGTGTGCATCGGCCAACCTGCACTAGAAAGAAAACACTAACCTGCCTGTTCTTTTTAACATGCTGCTGAACTGCTAGACCAATAGAAGGAAGTTAGGCAAGGTTATGACATCACTGTCATAACCCACACACTATCTTCTTCCTCCTAGCATTTAAAGGAGACAGAGATGGACAAAATAAGACATTTTGCACAGAAGGGAGCAGGTAATGCAGACAGTCCGCTCTTCTCACCCTCTATTCCAGCTAGGGACCAGTGCCAGCCACCAGCCTGTCAAGGAAGTGATCTGCCAAGCCAGCAGCAGCCTGCCCCACCCAGCGGCAAGTCACCATTACCCCCCAAGGTCCATGCGTGTCTGCATGGGTCAGTGTGTGTGTGTCTGCATGGGTCAGTAATTTTGCATGTCTGCACGAGTCACTGTGTGCATATCTCTATGTGTTGGTGTGTCTGCATGGATCAGTGTGTGTGTGTGTGTCTGCATGGGTCAGTAATTGTGCATGTCTGCATGTGTGTGTGTGTCTGCAAAGGTCAGTGAGTGTGTCTGCATGGGTCAATGAGTGTGTGTCTCTATGGGTCAGTGTATGCATGTCTGCATTATTCAGTGAGTGTGTATGTGAGTATGCTTGAATCTTCACTATCGCCAAATACTTTTAAATTGTTGAAGAGTATCATTAGTGTATATATGTTGGCATGTATATTCATATTATATTAATATTTATATGTACTGTGTATATATGTTATATGTTGAATTTAAATTAACTATAACACATGCATTAATATACATGTATAAAGGAAGGGACTGTGGGGAGTGTATAGTGGAAATTGGGCTTGGGGCAGCAAGGAGGGTAAATCTGGCTCTGTATATATATATATATATATATATCTATATATATATATATATATATATAGATATATATATATATAAAACTAAAAAACACATCACTGGAAGCAAGAATCAGCTGCTACTGAATCAATCAACACTTGTATGTCAATTGATTTTTTTTCCCAATAAAGAGGTAATATGGAGAAGCAATAGATTCTTAGGCACGAAAGGGTACTTAAATGTCACACCCAAGGCTGATCCCCTGAGCAACCTTAGGTGCGAAGGTTTTCAAAGGTGCAAGAGTTTTCAAGAAGCATCAAACTATTTCTGAGATGCCCTTTCCTCGCACAATACAGGCAGTGCCTCTCCTTTCTCCTATATTTGTTCTCTGCCTCAGACAGCTTGGTTGCCCCAATTACATGGGTTCAGAGTCTGATAGTGAAGAGGTAGCATGAACTGTTACCCCAGGAGTAAACAGCTACAACAGGACGTCTGACTCTATTCCTCTGTTGAGGTCTTTCCCTTAAACAATTAACTATGTATAATTAATATTCATGTATAAATGAAGTGACTGTGGGGAATGTATTAAGGAAATTGGCCTTGGGGCAGCAAGGAGGGCAAATCCAGCTCTCTGTGCAAATGTATTTACACATCACTGGAAGCAAGAAGGTGTGGATTTATGGTAGGGTTGGCTCTTACCGGCATTACCTCCACCCACTTTTACTCATTCTATTGGTGCATTATCCATCGTGCCTGTATTTTGCACGTGGCCTGTTGACCCGACTGACAGACAGTGATAGAACACGGCTTGTGAAAAGTGGTATTTTTTTCCCTTTATATTAAATTGCATGTGTGAATGTGCAAAACATAAATGTGTCAACAAATGGACATTTTTATTCTTCCTATTTACACTGAGAAAGAGAATATATTTCAGTGTGAAAAAAACAAAAACAAATGGCAAAAAAAATAATCTTTGGCAGTTTTCAGTGAGCGGTAAACAAAACAGAAACATTTCCTAAATCTCTTTGCACAAGATTACAGAGCGAAATTATTTTCCAATTATTTCCCAAAATGTGGCAGAACCTTTTTAACAGTCTATGCATACTGTGCCCCATGGTATTGCTGGCACAAGGAAAAGCTGGGCAATTAAATGGACGAGTTAGGAGCTTTAGCCTTACACTATTTTTAGCAGTAGGTGCTTTAGAATGTCTCTTACCTGAAAACTGCAGTAGTTAGGCAGTTGGCATGATCTAGGCATTGCTTTTGCTAACCCAGTATTTTGTGGATTTGTACATGATGTGGTGGCCCATGTTCTCCAGAACTAAACTTGCTCATTGGGATGTTTCAATGGAGACTGAGGTATCTGGCCCCAGGTGCCAGGATGTTCCTGGAGGTGTTTATAAGTGACTGTTGATGAATGTCACCAGAACAGTCACATCTCACATTGTACAAACCGCTTGCCACCGGTAGTTATAGAGTTGAGGGAGAGAGAAGCTGAACCATCACAGATATCACTGAATGTGCAGCCATT